CTGGCCCGGCCCCAGCTGGGCCCCGGAGCAGGGGATCCCTGTCTCAAGCTTTGGGTGTGAGTTAGTATCGGGATGGACAGACCATGGAGAGCTCGGAGCTGGATACATCTAGGTTGAGGATTAACAAGTACAGCATAAAGGATCACACTGAGGGGCTGTGGGCGGCTCAGTCGCTCATGTCCATGTCCTCCTCGTGGTGGTCGTCCCCGTTCACCTTGGATTCCCTGCCCGGGTCCCCGCTGCCCTTCTCGGCCGCGGGCTCCTTCCCTTTGGGGGAGGGAGCGTCCGCCACCTTCTTCTCCTCCTTCTTCTCCTTCTCGCTGTCGTAGCCCTGTTCCTCCTCGTCGTAGTCCCTTGTGACCTGCTTTGCCAGGGAAAGGGACACGTTAGCACTTCCCAGTGGGCCGGGGCAGGGGGGATGTGGGGCAGGGCTGGGAGCAGCCCCAGGGCTTTTTGGAACATACTTTCACATCCTTGTCGCTCTCGGATTTCCGGTCTCGATCCTTCTCCTTGTCTTTGCTCTTCTTTTTCTTGCTCGTTGACCGCTCCCTCTCGTCTCTGCTCCTCTCCTTGTCTTTGTCCTTCTTCTTTTCCTTTTTATGCCTATGAGGATCAGCAGGAAGAGGATCAGGCCCATCCCCATCACCCCATTCCATGGCTGGAACCGTGTCCAGAGCGTTACCCACAGCAAACCCAAAGGAAAATGGCAGAGGGCAAGGGAACAGGCTGTGCTTCCAGGAAATACCCAAAATCCCAAATTCTTAGCTCTGGCTCAAGGACAACAGCACAAAGCCAAGGCTGAGCAATGCTGTGGCAAAGAGAACCACGGGATCTCCTCAGCTGAAGGGCCCCACAGGGATCATGGAGTGCAAATCCTGGACAGCATGAACAGCAGAGGAGCACCCTGAGCTCCCCATCCTGGGACAGGGTCACAGAACACCCAGGCCACCCAAAACCAGCTGATTCCTGGTGCAGAGCCAAAGGGGCTGGGAATGGTGGCACATCCACTCCTACCACCCCTGGAACCCCTGACCCTTGGGGCTCCCAGCCAACCCCAGAGCAGCTCCGCAAAAGCAGCAAAGATTCCCCCACACAGAATCCCTGGGGGTCACAATGTGGGCATTCCCACCCAGACACCGTTGTTCCCAGCCAGGTGCTGCCCTGACCTTCTGGGCGACGGCGACCGGGACATTTTCCGTTTGGGAGACCGGGGCTTCTTCGGGGAGCGCGTCCCGCTCCGGCTGCGCCGGCGCCGCCGCTCCCTGCGGGGACACACGGGAGAGGAGCTTTGCAAATCTCTGCTGACTTTTTACACCTGCAAATGCATCTCTAACTTCAACCCTAGCCCTGTTCACACGGTAGGTTGGATTAAGAACTAAAGAGTCGTTAAAGCTGCAAGCTAAATTTGGATTTTTTTTTAAATGAAATATTTTTGCCTGGATTTATTCCCTAAATGAGGAAGAGCTTGGCAGTGACCCTGCAGCATCAAACTCTGACACAGAGCAAGGAAAACTGTTCTAAGCCCAAAGAATTTACCTCAGACACTGCAGGAAAATGCAAGTATCAACAGACACAGGTGGCAGAGGTGCTGTTGTGCCTGTACCAGACACACCCTCATTGGAAGCACGATCCAATGGGATCCAGGCATAGTTTGGGGTGGAAGGGACCTCAAAGCCCAGCTCCTTCCATGGGCAGGGAACCTTCCACACACCAGCTGCTCTATCACAACAACACTTTTTTCTATTTAATACTGAAGTGCATCAAAATCCTGCTGGGAACAGAGAGCACAGAAAAATCCCATTTCTGTACCTGCTTGTGCTTCTGGATCTTCTGGTTGTGCTGTAGCTTTTGGGGGGAGTTTTAGAACGTTTCTTTTCTTTCTCTTCCTTCTTTTTATCCCTTTTAGTAGAAAAGAAAGTAAGTTAAAGTCACTTTCAAACAGCACTTCCTAATGTGCTGTCCAGGGAAAGGGATGGAGGGGCAGGGGTGGCTCCCCAGGTGCTCCAGCCCCTCCCTGTCCTCTCTGAGCTGTGGGGACCCAGCTCTGTGGGGACACAGCCCCGTGGGGACACGGCCCTGTGGGGACACAGCTCTGTGGGGACACAGCTCTGTGGGGACCCAGCCCTGTGGGGACACAGCCCCGTGGGGACACAGCCCCGTGGGGACACAGCCCTGTGGGGACACAGCCCTGTGGGGACACAGCCCCGTGGGGACACAGCCCTGTGGGGACACAGCAATGGCAGCACAGGGCACGGTCCCTGCCCTGCTCAGGACTGGACTCCCTGGAGTCATCACCTGGTTTTGGATGTGCTCCGAGACCTCCTGCTCCTGTCTCTGGAATGAGATCTCCTTCTCCTCGGGCTTTTGGATCGCCTCCTGCTTCTGGATTTGGAATGGGACCTTCTCCTTGACCTGCTCCTGGAGCGTCTGCCAGGGACAAGCACCATGGAGTCACAGGGAGGAGATGCTGGGGCTGCTCCCAGCCCGGAACCCCCAAACCCAACCCAGCCCTGCCAGGAGCTGTTGGAGATTTTTTCAGGGATGGCCTAGAAGGCAGCTGTGAGGAGCAGATTCTCACAGCCTGTTTCTGTAAACAGCAGAGGTTCTCAGGTTGTTTTTAATTACAGGTAAAAGTGACAAACATGAAGGCCTTGAGAGCCTTGCACACCAGAGTTCTCAGGCAGCTTTCTCATAACAAGTGGATGTTCTACCTTTGGCTGTTTTGGGAAAGCAAGAATAATTTTGAGAACCCAAATCTTGGTATTGGAAACATAAGGAGGGGTTGGTGTGTAATCTCTGACCTATTGTGAGCTCAGATTTTGCAATATGCATGAAGTGAATGAACACTGTTATAAAAGGTGACTGATTGATGAATAAAGTGGAGTCGATGCTGATCAATGCAAGGTGGGTCTCTCCCTCCAACTTCAATAAGGAGCCTGCACACTGAAATGGCAATGAAGCTCTGGAGCCCCAAATCAAACCCAAGGCTCTTCCCAAGGATGATTTCTGCAGGAATTGCTCCAGCTGTGTTGCTCAGGAATTGCTCAGTCACCTGTGTCTGGATGAGGAAGGTGTCCTCCTCCTCCTCGAGCGCGACCTCGACCTCGAATGTCTTCGCTTTTCATCTTTTTTGTCTGAAAAAGGAAAAGTACAATAAAAACCAATGTTTTATTTTAATATTCAAAAAGATTTTCTAAAGGAAAGGACCCTGAGCTTCATGTAATTGATATAAATCAACCTGATCTTGTCATTTGAAGTGAAGGCTCATCTATAATTTTCTTCACAAGACAAAAAGAACCAACAGAGGATGGGCATATGTTTGTGACACAAAATAACAGTTTAATGCAAAACTGGAGAAGCCAAAATTCAGAAAAAAATCTTAAGTCAGTGAAAAGCTGATGGCTGTAGGGCAATGGAAAATCCTGTGAAAATCCCAGAATCTGCCATTTCCTGAGGGGCTGAAGAACCTGACAAATGATTGTTTTAAATATCCCACAAAAAAGCCTCAAGCTAAGCAAGAG